CTCTGTAATGATGCCCAAGGGTGGGTAGGGTCTTTAAAGAGGGTGTAGATCAAGCGAAGAGCAGTCAGAAGAGACCAGTGAGTGACTAGTTGTCTATACAGTTTGCCCTGTAGTTCCACATGATGTTCCAAATATGATTAATGCTATTAGATCTTGAAGACATTAATTCTCCCTTGAGAAGGGAGAGTAGGTGGTTAGATAAAGAAGTTATTGGATCAGTACAGTTTAAAGGTACTATCCAGTGTTAATATGAAGATGGAGCTGAGGAAACAAATCTTCCCTTTTAACCTCTCAGGTTATTATCTACGTGATAATTTAACTTAGCTGGCCGCCAAACAAGACGCAGCCACTTGCAGCCCCCTTCCACCCCCTTTCCTCCCTACCCAGGGAATCAGAAAGAGAATTGGAGGGGTAAAGGTTAGGAGAATTGTAGGTTGAGATAAGAACAATATAATAATTAGAATAAAAATAAAATTAAAATAATAAGAATAATAAGAGTAATAACGATAGCAGTTATATATATGAGTGATGCAGAGTACAATTGCTCACCGCCCGCTGGTAGCGATCCCGCAGGAGCAAAAAGGAACCCTGTAACCGAAATTGCAATCCTGGAAAAATGAGCCTGAGCGATTCCCAGGAGAATCCCCCACTTTCCAGTCAAACCCAGTTAATACGCTAAACATGACGTAATACGATGTGGAATATCTCATTGGCATATCCAGCTGTCAATTCTGGGTTTCACTAGCTACTACACTTTTCTTCTCCACTCCCTTCTTCCAGTCCTCTCTTCTTGGAAACTGCCCAAGCACAGTGTCCTTGTAGTTACCAACACTGTTCTCATAACAATCCTCACTGAAACCAAAACAGTGCGTTATAACTACTGAGAAGAAAAATTAACCTTATCCTAGCAAAAACCAGGACAGTCTAGAACTAGAAGTACCCTTAGCTTATCTAGTTTGAGTAGTCAGTACTTTTGCATCTCCTTCCATCACGGGAATAGAAAAAGAAAGGCTTTTGATACCAAATGTGTCAGATTTATTGCCAATTCCATTGGCACACAGGTAACCGTTATTCAACAGAGTTGCTTAATATGCTGGAGATGTTCCTGCTTTGCACAGGATCCCTAAATGGTGGGTTATTACTAACTTATCAGGGAAGGGCAAGACAGGAGGGCTTTTTTCTCTTTTTTTTTCTTTTTTTTTTTCCTCCTTCAGGGATGTGATGTTCACTGATTCGTTTTAGCGTGATGTTGATTCTGAAACATTTTTTCTTGCCCCTGGGAGGTGTCATATATTGTCTTCTTCTACTGGATCTGGTCTTCTGAAAACTTGAGGCTATCTCAAGCTAATTGGTTTACTATTTCTCTTTGGAGTGGGGCAAGTGAGTCAGGATTCAGCATTTTCTTCCTAGCAGTTAATATACCTGAATGCAAGTCTAAGGTGGTTATTTATTTTAAAACTGGAAAGAATGTAATTTTTATTTTTTCCTCAAATTATGAAATAGTTACATACAGGAATATTTTGTGCTGAATGGGATGTCTCTTGCCAGGGTAAGGTTTGGAGTAGGATTTGGATAATCTGTGTACCGAAAGAAATCTTTAAAATACAACATAAAATGCGGAATATCCTTCATTTAAATTTTTTATACTTGCAACATACTCTGTATTGCAAGTAACCATGTTTTACATTGGAAAACAAATCTACATCTACATGCTCTCCTCTTCTTTGTAGAAGAGACCTGTTTTTTTATTAGTTAAAGTCTTTAGTTGTGCAGTTACACAGAAGAATAAATACTGCCCTGTATGAATTAACTTTCCAGTATACCACTTTATTTTCTTGTAGGTTTTGAAACGACCAGAATATTTTGGGAAGTTTGGTAAAATACATAAAGTTGTCATTAATAACAGCACATCATATGCAGGCTCACAGGTAAGTCAGAGGCTCTTGGGATTTTTGTTTTTTTTAATTCCTCTAGAGAAAATACATGTGTACAGAGTCAATCTGGGGCTCCCTGTTTTTGATTAAGCAATAGAATAAAGAAGTTAAAAGAATAATAAAAAGATACATCATTGCAAAAATCAAATTACTGTTAAGTTACTGAGGCATTGTCCTACCAGACTCTCAAAGTTGGATGCAAGATGCTATGTGGAAAGATTAAAAATTGACGGGATGAGAACCTTCAAAGAAGTAGAAATGTGACATTTATTTGTTAATCTGCATTTTGAGGATAAAATATCTTTAAGTATTTTTAGAACTTTCAAGCAACATTTTGATGCATTTCTTCTTTTCCCCATTCTTTATGCATCACGTATAATTCTTTTTTTTTAATTCTACCATTTTGGTCATGTTTCCTGATAAAACCATCTAGCTATGAATATACCAGTTTATGACATGAGCTGCCAAAAAAGCAACTTAGTGGTCGGATCTGTCTGGGGGAAGAAAAAAAAAATAAAATGTGATATGTTTTCTTTCTAGGGTCCAAGTGCCAGTGCATATGTAACCTACATCCGGTCAGAAGATGCTCTCAGAGCCATACAGTGCGTCAATAATGTGGTGGTAGACGGCAGAACACTTAAGGTTGCAATATGTTTACATTTTCATGTGTATGTGCTAGGACACTAATATCAGTACATAGTATAAAATTTTATTTGTATGGATACACTTGTGTTGATGAACAGAAATGTCCAGTTTATTGGGTATTGAGTTTTGACCCGTTTTCCTAGCATTAATCACAACATGGAAGTTCAGTGGGCTTCCAGCAGGCAATGTTTTTAGGGCATTAACAGGTAACTTCTTAAAACAAAAATTTTAGACAAAGAAAGAGGTGCACTACCTCCCCCTTCCCACAGTGGCTTTTTTTGCTGCGGAGCTTATAGCACAGTGTGAAAACCTGATTATTTGCTTTTGTAGAGCATGTCTGTGGTCCAAACACCACACCTCTCAAAAGCTCCCTGAGAAGTGCAAGGTTTTTCCTTTTGATATTTGTGTAAACAGGTATTCAGGCTGACTTGACCAAATTGGTGGCTATAGGAAAAAATCTGATTAATATTAATTTCCTGACTCTGCTACAAAACATTAACTAGTTTCATGTAATACAAACTCATAACTACTTATTTGACTTCTTACGATTATGAATGCAAATACTTACTGAGGCTCTTATTTTGATGTTTATTTGGATTGGATGAAAATAGAAATACATCCTAATTATCTGATCCTCAAATATATAGATTTCTTACAAATGGACTTCCTAGTCCATCTGCATCAAAAAATGCATTATGGTGGAACTCCAAATCTTTGGAAGGAATTTTTTTTTTTTTTTTTTTGCAAATATAGCAGTTTTTTTATATTGTAAAAGGCATTCTTAATCTCCAGTACTTACGTAATGACTTCTCTTTAATTATTATTCAGGCATCATTAGGTACAACAAAATATTGCAGTTATTTTCTAAAAAATATGCAATGTCCAAAACCAGACTGCATGTATCTACATGAGCTGGGAGATGAAGCAGCCAGTTTCACAAAAGAGGAAATGCAGGTAAGTGTAATGAATGGGAAACACATGAAATGTCATGTATGTATTTTATTGTATATAATTTAGTCTAATATGTGTATAATGTAGCTTTTTGCTGAATATTTTGGCAGATATGAATTTTGAAATCCAAAAGGTGGTTAACCAGTTGGATATTGGAAGTGAACAGTTAGTTAAATTTTTTCATTGCATGCTGCTTTAAAGGCTGAAAAGTCCACTGAGTGTTCATAACTCAAGAACATGGTTATAAACTCTTAGCCAAGAATTCAAATAACCTTGAGTTAGCTACTTGCCCTTTGTTCATACCAATGCAAGGTAACATATGTTATTTTAAATCTCTGTGAAAGAAGTTAGAGCAGATCTGAGTTTTTCTGTAGATTTTGTGTGTGGCCAGTTATCATGGCTTAACTATTAGACTCTAATTTGATCATGCTATCTGAATTCTGATATCCCTTTTAGCCTGTGAAGAGTATAGAAACTGTTTGGGAATAAAACATGGAGGGTTACTGTAATAGAGCATAAATACTGATGCAGGGATTTTTTTACTTAACATAAAAATGCTTATTATTTAGTGTAGGGACAAGTAAATGGATAGCTTTACTTTCTCAAAGGTAGTGCATTCTGAGGTCTTTTTGGTCCGAGTCTGTCCCTCTACATGAGGTATAGTAAAGCTTGTAAACTGAATTTCAAGTATGCAAGCTTTCCATCCATGTTGTAATTTTTGCATGTGGTCTGTCCATGAAGCAGGTGGTCCCCACCCCTAGTGCTAGCACAAATGTACAGATTTTATTTCGTATGTTAGGCTGATGTAAGCTGGAGAATAAGGATGAATGTCCATATCCATCAAACATTTTTTCCACAAATTAGCAGTTATTTCTGAGAATTTCAGCTATGTTTTCATAAACCCTGATGGTTCAGATGAATAGTCCCTGTAGTATGTATTTCATCACAGATAACGGCAATAAGAGGTAAAATTCAAGGAGAACTTGGAACCAGGTCACCTTCCTTGTTCATTTTCCTGTATTTCTTCCACCACCTGAGCTGTATTATGTATGTTTGAGGGAATGTTCTTGTCTAGCCTTTTTAGGTTTTGGTTTTTTTTTTTTAGAGGGCTGTCAGCCATGAATTTATTTAATCCATTTTGAGCCTGCTGATAGTCAACCCTTTAGTCTTCTGTGACATCAAGCCCCAGAAGTTCATCAGCTGTTTTGTGAAGTGCTTTCTTCTGCCTGTGCTAAACTGATCTCCAGTTAGTTTTGTTAAGTGTCCCCTAATCTAGCATTGTAGTACTTGCTGAAAGCTTGTGTTGTGATGTTACAAAACTCGTCTCTCTCGGCCTTCTTGTGAAATCACACAGTTTCTGGGCTTGTAAACTTCTCTGTAAAGCAGTTCCTCCCCTTCTGTGATAATTTCTGTTGCTCTTATCTGTACCTTCTAACTGTGTCCTCCTTGACCTGCAGAGGTCAGACATGTCATACTCATGATGTGGGGGAAACAAAGTTTAAGATAGCAGTCCTTAAAGTTTTATGTGTAGTGTGGCATGTGGGGTCTTTATGCTGTTGTTGTTGTTGTTGTTGTTTTAAGTGCCCTTCCTAATGATGCTCAACACAGTTTTTTGTGTTTGGATGCCAGTGCATAATCAACTAACAATTTCAGAGATCTGTTAGCAGTAACCTCAGTATCACTTCTCTGAGCTGTAACAACCAGATCAATGGAGCAATTAGTATGGTTTTGGCTACTTTTCCCTTGGTGTGTTACCTGACATCTCTGGGTTTGCCACCTTTTTGCCGAGTTCTCTGGGATTCTTTTGTAGTTCCTCATTATCAGTATGGCAGTTTACTACTCAGAGAGCTTGATATTGTCAGCAAAGAACACTTTCTTCACTCCTTTCTCATGCATGCCTATGGTGTCATGCCAGTCATCAGTCCTCATCCTTGCTTCTGCACCCTGCAAATGACCAGTACGTCTTACCTTTGCCTTTCTATCTCTGAACCAGCTTCAATCCACAGAAGAACCTCTTCTGTCTCCCAGGATAGCTTTGTAAATAACTTCTGGTGTGAAACCTTATCAAAGGCATTTTTGAAAATTTTGTGCATCCTCTTTATTTATGCTTATTGAGACTATCATGAAATTCCATCATGTTAGTGAAGTAGGATTCCACTTTACAGAAGATGATTGGTTTCATTCCCAGCAGATTGTGTTCATTCATTAACTTTTTTTTTTTTTTTTTAGATAGGCTTTATAATCTTAGGAGGGATGGAGGTTGAATTTAGTAATCTTTAGTTCACAAGATTTTTTTTCTACAGCCCTTTTTGCAGAAGACAATGGCAACCTGTCAGTCCCCTAGCCTAACTGCCAGTTAAAATTGATAGGCTACATTCCTTGGCCAGATTCATGTATCAGTTCCTTCAGAAGTCCTGAGTGAATTATACTTGATCTTGGTTACTTAAATGAACCAATCTTTACTGTTCCTCATTACGTTCCTTAAACTTTCTTCTTGATTTCGTATTGCTTTTTTCTAAATCATTGGAAATTATACAACTATTGAAAAGTACATTGTGCTTTCAGTGTACCATCTTTCTGGAGTTGGGGTTAGTGTCAGTGAATTTAAAGGTCCATTTAATGAGATTCACTGTCACAGACTTTGATTGTCTATTTTGAAAAAAAAAAAAAAAATTGTCAGTGGATGAACTTACTTTCTAGGTTCAACAATTGTTAATAGAGCTAAATGTTGTCACAATCTGAAAATAACTGGTAGGACTCCAGGGAGTCTCTGAAAGTGAAGTTGGGCATTTAGGATAGGTAGGTTGGAAATGCTAAGTTTAGCCTCTGGATTGCTTGTTATAAATAAAACAGTTACTGCAAGCTCCTATATAGGATTTTAATCTTGTTTCTTTCTTTCTTTCATTTATGTGAAAGGTAAGTGGGCTTAGGACTGGCCTGATGTTCCAGGCTGTGATGTTGAGTGTTTTGCCACTGAAGTCTTTAAGGAAGATAAGATGTCCAGGGAGATTTCTTCTTACTCATCTGCTTAATATTTGCAGTGCAGATCTGTGCATCTGGGCTAGTTACTTATATTCTATTCACAGTGGATGGCAAAATAAGTATTTCTATGTATTTCTATATATCTCATAAAGTTTACATTTAGGTGAACCACAGTCTAGAACCACACTTTTTGTACTGTAAGTAGTAGCTTGGGTGAAGACACTGACGAAGTTGGGTAAGATGATGCATACACCAGATGTTTCATTGTCCTTTTTTGAGGCTTTTGTAGGTTGATTACATAGAGAAAGATATGTTCAGAATCAACCAGTAATGGAGAACTGGAGAATTAAGTAGCAAAAACCTGGAGGTATTTATAGCGTTTGATTAAATGGTATATGCAGTTGCCCTTCTAAAGGAGCTCATAAGGGAATTTAGTTTCTTAGTAGTACTGTTTTTTGAATTTTGTCAAATATTCCTGCTTAATTTTTTTCAAAAGAGCAAGTAATAGTTTCTTTTAGGCTGTAATATTTTTCTAGTAGGGTGTCCACATTGCCTGTGCATCAGTTCTGTTCCTGTTCCAACAAAACATTTATAAAGGGAATTAATTAAGTATTGTACAACTGTTTAATTTTTAGATGTACAAGTGGTGTGAGAGCTTTTAAATTAGTACTGAAGATGTGCTAGATAATAATGGATGTGTTCCAGACTTAAGATTCAGAATGCCTCACCATAAATCTTAGCTTTTGTTTTCTTGGCTAAAGGACATTTCTTAGTATCTGGAAACACTAAATAAAAGCTATTGACAGCTTCACATTCACTCTTCTGTTTTGCATCTTGATTCAGCTCATTATAATACTTGACTTACAAACAGTAATTCTTAAGTTGGAGTGGTATAACAACCTACAAAAAATATGAACGCTTCTCTTGAATTTGTTTCAGATGTCACTTTAAGTGTTAGAGGGGGTGGATCTTGTTGGTATTGTTTTATTTAGCCACAGAATGTTATCAGTAAGCTAGAGTGAAAAGTACTGTCTTCCTTCACTCACTGGATTCAATATTCTGGAGGTGGATTGGGCCAATTTCTGAAAGCAATAATTTTTTCTCAATTAATTCAATTAGTTCAAATAATATTTAATTTTTTCAGTTATTAAAAGAATGATTTATCAGTTACTGCTCAGAATATACTTCTTGTCACATGATATTTAACACTCAGACTACCTCAGCTGTTTTTATTAAGCCAATATAAAATTACTTCCATTTTGGAACTTTTGGTTTAAAAGAGAAACCCCGTTCCTTTCCATCTTCTGTAAAGCTTAGTATGGTTGATATATCAAATGCCAACTGCATTGGAGATTTAGCTGTTTGCTTTAGAAACTGTATTAGAAGCTCTTTATTAGAACTCAAGAGCAAATTCTAATAAGGTTGTAACTATTTTTCTGCTTTAGAAGTCCCCCCAAAATTATAAATTGTTAAATATATTTAAGTGGGTTTTAGGCAAGCTTTAGATTTGTTGAGATTACATCTGTGCTGAGATTGAGAAGCACTGTTTGGAGTTTCAGTCAGCAGTGACCTGTTAAGTTGTTAAAGCTGAATTACTAAGCTTTGGGGCATACATACTTACATTTATATATAATTTTTAATTAATGTTTATATATATAAAAATCTATATTAAACCAGTATTAATTCATTATGAATTAATCTTTCCTTAGGCGGGTAAGCACCAGGAATACGAACAGAAACTACTGCAAGAATTATACAAACTAAACCCCAACTTTCTCCAGTTATCTACGGGTACAGTTGACAAGAACAAGAATAAAGTGACAGCATTGCAGAGGTATGATGTGTAAGTACTGATGCTTGGACTACCTGGCTGTGCTTTCTTTCTGGTTATTAACAAAGAAAACTTTATTCCTATCAGATCCCTTAAGTTGCCTACTCTCTTTAGTGGCTATTATATGATAAACTCTGGTATCTGTTTTCTCTGTGTAGACACACGCACCACATTGTTCTAATACAAAGTGAGTGTGAGTCTGTCTGAGTTAACAAAATGTTTTTCTGCTGTGTGCATCCTGCT